GGATAAGGGGTTCTTTTTCAGGTTGGTGATCAGTGACCAGTGGGGTTTCACAGGGATCAGTGCTTAGGCCGCTCTTGTTTACAATACATATTAATGACTTGAAGGAAAGAAGTGATGTATTGTAGCTGAATTTGCAGACAACACAAAAATAGCGGATTGAGAGAGGGATACAAACAGTTTACTGACAAATATTGATAGGTTAAGTTAGCAAAAAGTTGGCAAATGGAGTATAATGTGGGAAAATGCAAAGCTGTTCATTTTGGAAGAGAAAGCAAAAGAATAGAATATTATTTAAATGGAGTAAAGCTACAAAAACCTGCAACACAACGAAACTTGGGAGTAGAGATAGTAGGAACTGCAGATGCTGGAGGATCCGAGACAACAAGGTGCAGGGCTGGATGAACACAGCAGGCCAAGCAGCATCATAGGAGCAGAGAGGCTGACGTTTCGGGCCTAGACCCTTCATCAGGGGAAGGGGGTTCTGAAATAAATAGGGAGAGAGTGGGAGGTGGATAGAAGATGGATAGAGGAGAGGATAGGTGGAGAGGAAACAAACAAGTCGAAAGGCGGGGATGGGGCCAGTAACACCTTCTAACAAGGGCCCTTCTAGGCCCGAAACGTCAGCCTCTCTGCTCCTATGATGCTGCTTGGCCTGCTGTGTTCATCCAGCCCTGCACCTTGTTGTCTCGAAACTTGGAAGTACTTATGCACAAAACAGAAAACTAGCATAGGTACAGCAGGTAATCAGAAAGGCAAACAGAATGTTTGCCTTCATTTTAAAGGGCTTGGAGTATAAGAATAGGGAATCGTTATTGCAACAGAAAAAGGTGCTGGTAAGACCACTCTGCAGTATTGAGAGCAGTTTTGGTCCCCCTTGTTTAAGGAAAGGTATCATTTCACTGGAGGCAGTTCAGAGAAGGTTCACTAGGATGATCCCTGGAGAGATTGTCTTATGGGCAAAGGCTAAACAGATTGGGACACTACTCACTGCAGTTTAGAAGAATGATCAACAATCAAGGTTTTCCACTGATTCCGACTGACTCCAAAGAAAGACGGCACAATGGTTTTATTGTTGGAGACCAATCATCTTAGACCCAGAACATCTCTGTAGAAGTTCCTTCAGGTTGTGTTCTGAGCCTAATCATGTTCAATTACTTCCCTCCATCAAAAGGCTAGCAGTGGGGATGTTTGCTGATGACTGCACAGCATTCAGAATGATGCAACACTCCTCAGATACTGAAATGACCCCTGCACATCTGCAGCAAGACCTGGACAATATTCTTGCTTGGGCTGTGAAGTGGCAAGTAACATTCGCACCATACAAATGCCAAAGAAATGCAAGAGAGAATCTAATCAGCTCCCTTTCACTCAGTGGTTCAGGTTGTATCTAGATATTCCAGCAGCCTTGGGACAGGATTTTGCCAGACCATAGAGTTTGCCAAACTGGGGATGTCATTTGTTAGCACCAGCATGGGAAAATTTTAAACTCACTTAAAATGCACTGTGCAACATATAATGAGTTGAAAAGTAGTTATTTTAGAGAATGTAGATTTTCTTTCATTTATCAGTACAATTCCAGAAAACCAGAAACACTGTGGATTCTTTGGAAAACCAGATGTACTGCAATGTTTACACCAAGAGAACATGCTGGACCACAAAGGCGTAGCAGCAATATTCATATCCCACAAATTAATAATAAAAAGAAACATGACAAGGGTTTGGTTTCTAGTTTTGAAACTGCAGCACTGGCCCCATGCATCACTTTCAAATATTCCTGAAAATAAGGGATAATTATTCATAGTGGTTTAACTGACTAGCATCCACTGCTATTGGGAGTCTGCCTCCAGGTAAAATTCTTCCACTTAACTATCTATATCTCTTTGCAGACTCTATTTTTCACAACTTGTTTTTTTCTAACTATTTTTGTATTATCAACAAATTTGGTCAAAACACACACTGTCCTTTCACCCAAGTCATTAATAAAAGATTGTAAAGATTGAGACCCAAGTACTGATTGATTTCTGTGGCACCCTACTAGTTAGTTTATCAATCCAAAAATGCCCTATTTATCCAGATTTAATTTGCTATCCATGCTGAAATATTACCAACAGCACGAGCTCTTACCATGTATCACATCTTTTATGTAGCATATTCTTCAATGTCTTTTCAATTTCCTTTTTTTGTTATGCCTCCGATATATGCAGAGATGATATACTCTAGGATTTATTTGTTCAGGAGCTCAATTCACATTGAACAAATGAACTTCAGCAGCTCTAGAAGGCAGCTCACCATCTTCACAAGGTGAACTAGGGATGGGCAATAAATGCTGGCCCAGGAAGCAAAGTCCACATCCAATGAATGAATTTAAAAAAAAAAAAATGCTTTTAAAATATTTGCCATTGTATTTAAACCATCTAGCCTCAAACACGCCATCTCTAAAGAGACTGCAACTAAAGCAGAATTGCTGGAAGCTCAGCAATTCTGGCAGCATCTGTGAAGAAAGAAAATCAGAGTTAACCTTTCGGTCCGGTGACCCTTCTTCAGAACTGGACTCAGATTGCACTTAGGCTTAACTATTCAGAAACAGTGAGCAAACAACAAACATACAAAATCAAATACAAAACAACTGAACAACCAAACACATCTTTTCCCTCTTGCAAAACTAAAAGATCCTTTCTTAAATTAAATCATCCTATACAGCAGATATCTACATGGAGTCATTAGAGTTCAGACTCTGTTTTCTCCAAGTATCAAAATATCTTGAGATTTGAAGGTCCCTGATTGGCTGAGATTTGAGTTTGAGGTAAAGTGAAGTGGTTCTACATGATTGTCTGCCTTATTTGTATCCTAGTAAACATTGTTCTTGAAATATCCTTAATGTTTCATTATCAAGGCTCTCCCTTTAACTTAATTTTGTCAGCCATCAGATAGCATTGGTAGTGAGCAACCAATTGATCACTCTGCTTTGAATAAGATGATGCAGTAAGAACCTGTAAGATACTTAACCTTGAATTGATACTGTTGAAAATGATCTGATCATTTGTAGATGAATAGCAGTTGGAGTCCTGACATAGCTAACTATCCTCCATTTTGATTGCATCCACTCACCTCACCATGCCACCTCTCTCCCTATCATTCATGTCTCATTGGCAGGGGTGAAGCTGACTTATTTTCGACTGTTCATACCTACCATCAGTACTTATTCTGTATCAATATATCTCATCTACCACCATTAGCACTCCCTTTGTCTTTTACTCTGGGCACTCTCACTATCTGTTCCTCTCACCCCTCTTTCTCTTTTGGCCCCAGCCCAAAAACCATCACTTTTTAGCCTCCTTCAGCTCTGAAGAGTAAATTGAAGTAGAAGTGTTAATTCTGTCTTGTTCTCTACAACGCTGTCAGATCTGTTGAGCTTCTTCAGCACTTTGGCTTAGGGGCAACAGCCACTATTTCCTGGTGGCCAGCCATAAATGGGAAGCTGTCCTTCCATCTCTATTCCATTTTGCTTAATGAATTAGGGTTTTAACTAGTTAAGTTATCAATTTTTCTTCTTCGCTGGTTCTGGTTTAAACTATTGTCCCAGATTAAAGAAAGATAAACATAAAACTCACCAATCACCTACCTACTTGTTAATATGTTAAGATCTTAGCTTGCATAACAAGCTGACTCTCGTTCTCACTCAAACTTTTCTGTGCCTACTAGAAGAGCAAAGCAGCATTTCCTCCCTCACTGTACCAACCTCCTGAGATCAATATCCTGACAAATCTGTACTCCACTTGGTGGCCTTCACATTCCTATTAGTAAATATGCAAATACAACTCTATTAATTTGAGATCGTATCCCTCTGGTGAAAAGTTGTGCTCTGGAATAAACAAGGCATTTAACAAGCTAACTCCCTTAACTGGAAACTTGCCACTGCCTGGCGAGAAATTCACCTCACCACTCCCGATGTTGAGTTAGGCCTCACCAGACTTCTCATGTGATATTGCCCCAAATCTCACCACAGCCCATAATCTTGGGTCCACACTGGATTTTACCCAATGACTTGTATTAATGTAGTGTCTTTGAAGCAGTAGTGTCCCATGGTTCTTCACATAATATTACCAAAACTTGACAATCAGCAATAGAAAGAGATATCAACGTAAATGCACAAAAGCTTGATCAATGACATGGGTTTTAAGGCTTTAAAGACAGCTGGAGGGTCTGGGGCTTAAGCAGCTGAAAAGACAGCTGTCAATGATGCAGCAATTACAGTCAGGATGTCAGAAGTGAAGGAGTAACAAAAATCTCTTGCAGGTTTGAGGGTTGGAGAGGTTAGATAGGAGACATAAGGCCACTGAGAGACATTAAAAGAGAAAATAAGAAATTTAAAATTGCACCATGGCTTGATCAAATGCCATAGGGACGGTGAGTGATGGACTTTGTGTGAGTTTAAAAAGTGGGCAGCAAAGATTTGGATAAGTTTATATGGGGTGTGAGATGGGAGGCAGACCACAACTGCATTGGAATAGTTACACCTGGAAGTAACAAGTAGTATAAATGAGGGTTTCAGCAGATGAGCTGGGATAAGGGAAAAGTTGCTGTAATACAAATAAAGAAGTAGGCAGTTTGCTGATGTATAAACATGTCCCCTATGGGTCAAATGCAACAGCAAGTTATAAGGCAAAAGGATAGAAACAGTAGTAAGTACCGAGTTTGGAGTATGAACTAAACAATGCATGGACCAAAATGAAGTGTAAAACATTGAGCTTCATTCTTCTTATACTCCATCAGAAATGTTTTATGTTAAAATGATAATGTGAAATGTGTCATTTTAAGAACTTCACCTTTTCAGTTTCATAAATATACTGAGCATAATTTTACATAAACATAATTATGATCTCAGTTACTGTACAAGCCAGATCTTTATCACTGACTTGATAAACCATAATCCTTTAAAAGAACAGCATGCATGGAAGAACCAAGGGTAAGAAAATAAGCAGCAGGATTCCAGGCCTGAATTCAAATACAAAAAAAAACTTTATTATACAGACATGAACAAAACCAACATAAGTAATAATGATGAAATAGGTATACTGAACTGGTAAGATAATGATTCTAAACCATGTACACTACATTAAGAACAATAACATTCAGGATTAACATGGAGGTAAATGACAACAGGCAAACTGTAGCTTAACACTCCACAAACTGCACTTTAATTGGTTAATGTGGTCAAAACAGACATCACCCAGGCATTAGTGACACTATGGATCACCGATCTCAAAATTCTTGTCACCTTCAAAAGGGATTCTAATTCTTTACATTGAAAGTTTAGTCTTAGAACACCCTAAAAACCTCCCTGACTTGCACTATCTCAAAATAAAAATGCTCACCTCAATAGTTCAATCTCTTCCCAAGACCCATTTCCCTAGGATGCCCAAGAACGCTCCTAGTAGTCTAATTACCGGCAAAATTTTAGCTTTCATCAAATAGTTTCACCCAGCTGTTTTTGAAATTCTCTCACGATCAATCTTTCTGAACTGCTTCAAACAAATACTGCTTTCGGCTTCCATCAACCCATTTGCTGCTTTACTTAATTGTCAATGACTTCCAGGCCTTCTTTATAACCCTAACAATATTTTCCATAGCATAAAGCCACCACTCAGTAGGACCACAGCATGGATCTTCCTGAATCAACACCATGTCTTTAGACCAGCGAACCCACTTGCTGTTTCTGATCTTACCCTACTAGCTGTTAACCTCTTAAAGCAATATGACTCCAATCTTAAGTATAATGGACTTCCAGGTATTTAGATTCCATTTATCCCATTTTCTACAGTTAAACTTTAAGTCCTGAAACAAAACATTATATTTTAAAAACACAAACTATTAACATAATATTCTCAACTCTACAAAGATGGAAAATAAATAAACTTCACTTAATATACAACTTTGACCCTCATAATTGATGGAAGCACAAACAGCTGCAGAAATGGTTCTCAAGGACTAACAGGTCAGCAGCCAGATAAGATGAATATTGGAAATTGTGAAAACAATGCTGGAGTTGCACAATAGCTCCATCAAAATCAAACCAAAACCAAATAAGTGGGAGATTTTGGGTGGGTCTCAAACAAAATATATTAAAGGATCTCTATCTAAAACATCAATAATTATTTTCGGTCTTAAACTTGCAAATGACCATTTAAACTTGCGCATATAACGATCAGTACTGATAGGGACAGTATTATTTAATGTGATGACTCATGCAAAATTAAGTCAGTTAAGAGACATGAAAACTCAATCATAATATTCTAGCAAATTATTTTTGTTTGGTTAGGACTACAAAACAACTTATTATGCAAAATACTCCCATGCCTCAATCCTTAGCTGCCTTTAACAGAAATGTTGAATCTAGGACTGAACCCGCATAGTTCTTTGTGAAATCTTTTTGTTGTTTATTATGACTGACTTTGATATGTGTTACATGTATTAATAAACAAACAATTTGTGTTACAAAAACCATCTGTTTGGCATTGTTCATTTACAAAATGTACTAATTATAAAAAGATAGAATATTTAATATCGGGTGTTATTACAAATTTCAGCCATAAATCCCTTTACAAGTGAGTCAAGGGTCAAATTTATTGTGTATTTGAAAGTTGAATATTTGAATATTGAAAGTTGTATCTTGATAATATCCTCAAATTAACTAAACAATCAACTCATTTATTCAGATTCGCCTGGTGCTACTTTGAGTTTAACATTTCAGTTTGCATGAAATATTTCTCGCAAAGCTAGCTTTTTGAGCAATTAGAATGAAGAGATTTATGTAATTGTGTTTTCTTCATGAAGCCTTGAATTCTGACTTTATGGTCTTTAGTGCAAAATAAACAAGAAATAAACATTGCACAAACATCAATTATAATAGATCAATTCAATTACTTAAAAAAGGAACAGTTCTGCATACATGCCAGATTTAGTCATTTCCCAGTGTGCAAACACGTAGCTGTGGGAAATTGATCCTCTTCTGCCTCTTCCTATTTTGTAACTTTTTGTAAACTTATTTGAATTTGTATCATGTTTTATTCCTTCCCAATATGTAGCTTGCTTAATAAGTTCATTTGAACAACCTTGATCTCTAATGTTTCTACTAAACACAACCTTTTGGATTCAGCAAAAAGAATTAGGAATGATGAAAGTCTAAATAAAGTTAAGAGCTGCTGGAAGCACATAGAAGCTTCAGCAGCATTTGAAAGATATGACAAATTAATGTTGTGCATGGATTCTTGACGAGATTGCGAAATTTTTTTCCATTTCAGATGGTAAGAAACCTCTCGTGTTTGAGCAGCTTTCTGCTCTGAGAAGACATATGCACAATATGCAGTTAATTCCTTTCTAAGATGATCCACTTGTATCAAGATTTTCCTTATTTTCATCTTATAACTGAAGCCCTTGCAAAAAGAGTTGCAAACTTCAACAACTGGAATATGTATATTTTCGGGTCAGCATTACCTGAATTTCTTTCCTTAGAATGGCTATACAGGATTAGAATTTCTTTTAAAAAACATCACTGTAGCAGGCACATTTCTGTACAATTAAAGCCTGTAGTATTGAGTGAATATTGTTGAAAACATTATAAAAAGCCAACAAATTCATCTGGCTGTATGGTCACATCATTGTCTGAAGGTGCATTTGCAAGTGGCAAGAAATATTGCACAAAGAATCCACGCAGCTGTAGAGAAAGCTGTCTTGAAAGCACTTATCTGCCAGGTCTCCACAGAAACCAACCAAATGATTTTCTTCCTTTGCCACAGGAAATTGATACACAAACCAAAACAGCCTATTCCAAACCAAACATTTTCAAACAGATGGAAAAAACCACAGGTAAAATATATTTTGGCTTGAGTCATTAATAAATTATAAAGATTTCAATAAATATTCCTGATCAGTGCCTCCTTTGCAGCTTTCAAACCTTTATATACCTTCAAGCTTGAGAATGTTCAGTTTACCATGCAAAGGCTTATGTCCAAAGCAGCTCTTCTCTAGATTAAAATGTGCAATAATCAATCAATCCGATTTCCACAAATTGTGAACCTGTCTATTTCTAGTAGGTCTCCTTTTGAAGAAGAATGCTTGCCATCAGATTTTTCCTGTGGTACTCCTTTATCTTCCACGTCGGGGGTTGTAAGAAACTGGTCAGTACTGTTGCTTGAAACTAGAGTTGATATACTTTCTGATAGGGACACAGGCTGGCTAATAATGGACTTTGATTCCATTTCTTCTGTTGCAGTGCCTGTCAAAGTGAAATTATCTCATTAAAGGTTTTGCAAATGAATGCCAATACATTAAGCCAGTATGCCGAATCTTTTATTTTAAACATGAACATGCCTCCGTGGTAAAACGCTTGCATACATTCTGATTGTGTCTCAACTGGATTCCCCACAAAAGATACTAAATTAACATATAAAACAAAGGTCAAAAAGTATAGCTATTTTTTGAAATTCATACGTGTGATTGTGTTACACCAAAATGGAGATCTTAATAGTGGAAGACTTTGGACGAGCTATATGCTCCAAAAGTGAAGATGACTGTCAAACTAGCATTTCACGTAAGAAATATATTAAACTAACAGAAACCAATTAAAAATAATCCAGAAGGATGTACAATATAGTGAAGTGTTTGTACATAATCCATCACAAGTTGTTTGAAGATAAGTGTATACAGCATCAGATCAAAAATTTCTCTCAAAACTCTAGCCTTCCTCATTGACAGCTGAGAAACATTCAGCTCTGTATGCTCAATAACTTGGTTGTCCTATTAAATACTTTAAAGAACTTTTCCAATTTACTTCAGGACATAATTATCTTGAAGCTAATTTCGTAATTATACTGCGACCAATTACAGGTGGTCAGGATGCTGGTATAATATATGCAGGTGACAATGCAGGGAAATAACAGAATAGGAATGAAAGGGACACATGGATGAGATTGTGTGGCCAGCCCAATACCGGTGTTTGAACCAACATAGGGTGATGTAAAGCTTGGCTGCACTTGCAGCATGAATGGATGGGTGAATGGAAATTCCAGAGTAAAAATCAGGATGGAAGGGCACTCTGGGGACTGTTACTAACTGAACAGTCAAGGGATGATGAATCTGCATTTAAAGAGGATTAGTTCACAACTACAAGTGGTCTGCAAGTTTCTACAGTGTTAATCATCACCTCTTAAAATACACAGTCACTGGTCAGCTGTTTGATTTGAGGGCAGGTTTTCGATGTGGTGTGATGTCAACACATGAATTCAATTCCCGCACCAGATGAGATTACTATGAAGGTCCAAGCTTCTCATCCTCTCCCCTAACCTAAGGCATACTGACCTTCAGGTTAAACTACCATCAGTCATCTCTTTCTAATGAGAGCAGACCTATGGTCCTCAAGGACAATGGTGACTTTGTTTACTTTAGGCAAATATAGGTGATGTGTTGCATGTAGCAAAGATCCAAATGAATGAGTGGTCACTCAACCCAGTGAGATTTTATCAGGAATAAAAATTACAAAGTTTTCAAATTGTCAGAAGGTTAAGATTATTCAAAGATCAGAATTAACATAGGAGAGCCCAAACAGGCAATAGGCCACAGAGGAAGCTAATGAGGACGCATCTAGATAAAATAGTGAGTTTAGGTTAATAGTTAATACTTTTTTAAGAATTTCATTTTCAAAATTAATTCTTATTTTTAAGTAAATAGACTTGAAAATAAACATAGCAGTAGACAAAAGAACTGAAACTATTTTTTTGTTTTGTGACAGTTGCTAATTCAAGATTAGTAATGAAGGGGAAAAAATAGCATTTAATCTGATCACTTGTGTAGCTTGGTGGTTCCTGAATCACATTTTTTAAAATATGTTTGCATATGAATAGGTTAAAATGGTTATATAATGTCAACTCAGAAGATATGGATAATCTTTCATATTAATTCTACGTATAAAACGTGATGTGTACACTCAAGGTATGGGATGTGCTTTTTGCAAGACATTTGATTATATTGCACCAAGAAATTAAAATATCTGGATACAATCAGGGCTCTACGTTATTGGAAGTGGAAATATGGAATCAAATATTTTGATGCATTATTACCCTTATTCTGAAAAGGAAATGATAATATGAACCTTAAACTCCATCAGGCTTCCAAAATTTTAATAAGAATTGCTATAGAAAACAAAACCCTCGTAAATCTAACTAAAATCAGTTTCAGCTATTTGTTCTCACGAATATTCATGACATATTTAAATATAGGTTATGATCAGAACAGAGGGAAATCTTTCATAATGATGTGAAATTCCATAGCTGTGTCATCAATTCAACGTGCAGAAATTCTAACTAATGGATAAATAATTGACCAAAAAAGTAATTGTATCATATAATTTAAACTGATCAACAACAAATTAAAATGTGTGTGGTTATGTTTATGTTTAAGGCATGGAATTCTAAGGTTGAAAATATCAGGTAGATTATTGGCTCATGATTTAATATTCCACTTTGAAAGTTGAAACACTAAGTATTTTTAAGTAATGCATTCAATTTGTGCACACTGGAAATGAAATGTAATGTAATTTTTCACATCAGTACTATTTGGCCTCTGAACTATGCAAGTGCATTAAATATGACTAATTCTGCTAATCATAGACTAGAATCATAAAGTTATATAGCATGGAAACAGACCCTTTGGTCCAACTTGTCCATGCCGATCAAGTTTCCCAAATTAAACTAGTCCCGTTTACCTGTGTTTGACCCATATCCCTATAAACGCTCCCTATTCATGTACCTGTCCAAATGTCTTTTAAATGTTGTAACTGTATCTGCATCGACCACTTCCTCAAGCAATTCATTCCACATACAAACTATCCTCTGTATGAAAAGGTTGCCTCTCAGGTCCTTTCCAAATATTTGTCCCCTCGCCTTAAAAATATGCCCTCTAGTTTTGAATTCTCCTACCCAAGGGAAAAGGCACCTTATCTATGCCCCTTATGATTTTATAAACCTCGATAAAAGTCAGCCCTTAAACTCCTCTGCTCCAGCCAAAGAAGTCCCAGCCTATCCAGCCTCTCCTTATAACACAAACTCTCCTGGTAACATCTTTGCAAAACATCTCTGCACCTTCTCCAATTTAATAATATCCTTCCTATTGTGTACAGTTTACCATCGAAAACTTTCATGACACCGAGCATCATCACCTTTGTCTCTGTGGTTTGCTTCCAAAAATAACTGAAATTTTGGTACATTAGAAATCACTGAACTGATATCCAAAATATTTATTTGCATTCAAAGAACACCTTAAGTTATTATTATGGAAAACACTGATCTTACAAGCAAAGTTAGATTGTTAAGACATTTATATTCAGTTTATCCAAACAAAAAACATTGGAAATAGTATTTTAAAAGGACATATTATTTGTCTCTGCATGAAACATTAAAAATAGATGCTTTATGAAAATTAATTACCTTGAGGTGACTTAACTTTACTGACAGATTTTTTGCCAGATTTCCCAGGGGTGCTGGCTGGTGGGGTTTGAAATAGTTTTTCCTCCATGTTGGCCTCTTTTACATATTGGCAAGATTTCCCCAGCAATACTATGCTGTTAAGAACTTTGAGTGCAATCAGTCTTGAAAGGGGGGAGAAGAAAAGAAAAACTATGTTTAGAAGAGGGAAACCTTTAACCATAAACGTTATAAACCAGACAAATAGTCTGTGCTAATCCGTAAGTATGTCCATTGAGTCATCTATAATCCTCGAGGAAACAAGTTACCAGATAATACTGACCTATATAACTAACTTCTGCAATCAATAGTAATTCACATGGAATCTAAAACTGTAATGTTACATAGCAGGAGCTTAATATAGCCAGATTCAAATGGAATTGCTGTCCGTTACCCCCACAGAACCTCTGCTTTTAATTAACAAAAAGTTAAGGACAATTACAGTACATTGTCAAGTAAGATTAACTTGCAAGCAAGCCATTTTTATCAATGCAAAGGCACATTTGTTGTTAGATTAAGATCCTACCACACAATTAGACCTTCTGACTCTCTCCAAAACACATTACTCATATTGCACCTTTCCAATATGCATTCCAGGATGTTTTGTTGGCATCAGAACCTAGATTGGAACTACTAACATTCACCCATTACTGGGCCACTAGAATTTGGTAATTGCACAGATTTCAATTTGAATTTATAGCTGTACAAGATGCCAATTTAGGGCAACAACTTAGAAGGACTAAAAGAATTCTATCCAAGGAATTGCATTAACACTCAACCTCTACAGTTACAATTTGTATTTATGCAGTGACTTTAAAAGAAAAAAACATGGCAAAAAATTTATGGAGAAAAAAGAACACAGGAACAATACCTAGAATAGTAATGGCTAGTAATTTGGACAGAGGTAAACTTTAAAGGAAAAAGATGAACAGTAGATGATTTAGGAAAGACATACTAGTCTATGGGACAGGTGGTTGACGGCAGAAATGGTTACAGGAGAAGCAAAGTTCAGATTTAAAACGAAGAATATCTTTGAGAGGGGTAGTGATTGGGGGTAGCAGCTGGTTACAGAGAAAATGAGCAGCGAGGCTAAAGAAGGATTTAAACATGTGAGAACTTAAAAGTTTGTGGCACAGGGTTGCAGGGGTTTTGGAAGGTAATATAGGTCGACAAAGATAACAGTTAAGTAGGCTTGGATTTAGGGTAGGACAAGATACAGGAGCAGAATTTATGCAAACTGATGGTACTAAGCAACTGAATTCAATCAATTTTCAAAATCCTATTTCTTTTCAGTGCAACACTATATGAAACCAAAGGTTAAAATAAATACTACATTTATGTATAAATGTAACAGTGCAGAATTTAAACATGTATATAAGATAACTACAAATTCCTTGAGTCTGTACAAGAAAAAAAAATTTAGACTTCCAGTCAGAAGTATCATTATAGTTGAAAGGCAAAAACCTTACTGTCCCTGATTAACAGCATAAACTACTGAAAGGCAGTACATAGAGAGCCAACAATCAGGAACATATGCCATAACACCCATCAGTTTGGTGTATAGATGCAAAGTAAATAATCCTCAAGGGTTATTCGATAGTTATTCTTTGTGCAATTTTTTGTTTAGCTAGGTCACATCTCAAATCTTTCATCCAGTTCTTGGCCCTGTGACAACAGATGCTTTCAGGTATTGAAATATAATGTGGAGGAATTCAAAGAGTTATTTATCTAAAATCTGGACTGAGATATGGTAGAGTCTATGTGAAACATCAACTATGCAATTTTGAGAGAAGCAGACTTATGCACGAACGGCATATGAACGGAAGTTGGCCCTTTGCTTGTCAATGATGTTCTGAAGGCAACAAGTTCATCCTTAAATAATCTGGAAATGATAGAGCAAGGATACAAGTAAAGTCATTTCAGAAGATGCACTGGCTATATTTGGATAGAAAAAGGCATACAGCAATGCAAGGCCAGTCTGATAAAGGTATGAGACAAAGAAAAGGAAATACGGTAGAGGTGACTAGTAACCAGGTATATGAAAGCAGAAATGGAATAAAGCTGCAAGGACATAGCACACTGGTTAGTAATTTTGTTCCATTGTCCAGTAATTAGTTAAGAGATAGAAGACAGAGGAAGTATTTATCAGGAAATTACTGGATAACAAGATTTAAAAATAAAACTGCACAAACCAAAGTTGCTCCATCCTTCAGTCACTTGGAGGGAATTAGAGTCATTTTAACACCTCCAGTGGGGCATAGATTTATTGATCCTTGTCATGAGAAGCATGCAGACAAGCCATTGTTGCTCTCCAGCTTTAAACCAGAAAAATTAGGAAGCTGTATGAAGTCAGTGACTTTTGAGAACAGGCAAATTTTCAGGTATCCTGATCACATGCCTTGATCATTACTTTCATGCCTTCAGGATAGAGCTTTTCGCTTCATATACCTTTGTCTTTAGACTGGTGTTCTGGTTCCACTAGCTTATCCCATTAAACAAAGTGTCATTTTCCTCAACACTGAAGCTTCCATATTATTACCGTTTAGGATTGAATAACTCAAATACTGCCTGAAGACATGGGCAGGACTGGCCTACCAGAATCCTCAACCAGCGAGTTAAGATGTCTGTAAGGTGTTTGGGAATGGCCATTTTATAAGCTGCCAATGATTGATCTGCTTTTGAGGTAGGGGACTCATTAGGCCCTTGCTGGAAATTATCTAAGGGTTTAGTCGGTATTCCCGGAATGCTGCCCATGGAAACTAGCACATCATTTTGAAGTGCAGGATTTTCCTCTGTTCCCTGTTTACATGCAGTGGGTAGGGCAGCAAATAGGATACTGGATAAGTTGAAGATCAACACTTTCTATTTTTGCTCCCCCACCATCCAAATTAAGGGGGGCAGCTGTCTGATCCAGTTCCTGGAAATGCCATAAGGGTCCTTCCCAAAGTCTAATTTAGGGAATTTTTCAAACATTTCCCTTAATGGGGCAGGGGTATACGGTACCACACATTCATGTTCCATTTCCCCATCTTCTTCTTTGTACCTCTCTATATCATAGAGGGCCATTGGTCGATATTTACAGGAGTGGGGGTCATGGGGGTGTGGGGTCCATATACTTGCATCCTGAATATCCCCTTTCTCATCCTCTGACTCAAAAATCACTAATATCCCCCTCACCAATTGCACACTCTATCCTTCTTGTTTGATTTACAGCCTCCCATAACCTGATCATTTTATACTAACATGGACCACAATTCTCCTCTTGGTACCATCTTTGGGCATTTCTTTGACCAAAGACGGGTAAGGATTTTACAGGTTTGCAGTGTTGTTCTGCTTCCTCAACAGTGCAACGTTGCATAAACGCCAATTCTATCACACTGCTGTCAATTACTGACACACTGACTTTCAACAAACTGCAGCTGGCTACACCATTTTCTTTTTAACTCTTTGCATCCTTGAGAGGAGGAGAAATTTTTTCATCCAGAGAGTGACAAGTGAAATAACTCTGCAAAGGTCAGTATCCCATCACCAAATCACCTTTTATTTACACATGCATAATACATGACACTGATCCAGCTAGCAGAGAGCCAGCTCCTACAGTGAGCAGAACTCCTGAATCTCCTGTTTATATCCATCAGCCAGGACTCCCTGATTGGGGCTGTTAACTTAGTCCAGTCAGGGAACTCATTCAATGAGATCCACCTGGCTGACTTTTTTCCAATCACTACAGTGAACCTGTGGAATTCTCTTGCACAAAAAGTGGTTTAGGCCAAAACATCAAATACTTTCAAGAAGGAATTATAAATAGTTCTTAGGGCCAAAGGGACCAAAGGACACGGGGAAAAAGCAGGAACATGGTACTGAGTTGGATCATCAGCTATGTTCATGTTGAACGGTGGAACAGGTTCAAAGGGTCGAATAGCCAACTCCTACTCCTATTTTCTATGTTTCTATGATTGCCTTTATTGAAGCAGCCATTGCTAAAGTCGTGGCTACTAGCATGGTGAAATAATAGTGGGTTTTGCAGGATTCTCATAGCTAGCCCTCTTGCTCTCATTCCACTTCACATTCATCCTCCAATTTAATGTGGCATTTAAGCTCCAGGTGGTGTCTGGATGTAGCATCTAACTAGCCTGCACCCCTCACCACAATCTCCCCCTTTTGCGATTAACCAAGAACTGCCAAGGATTGAGAAACTTTTAAAAACTTACAAAAGATGACCAAAATAAACAGAGGGAGAAGATCAACTTTTAGAATAAACTTGTAAGTAGCATCAAGACGGACAGCAAGACCTTCTTTAAATATATAAAAAGAAAGGTCAAGGTGAACATAGGCCCCTGGGAGAATGAGGCTAAGAAAATAATATTGGGGAACCAGGAAATGCCCAAGGAGTTGAATAAATTCTTTTCATTAGTCTTCACAGTAGAAAACACCAGTAACATTCCAGAAATGCTAAATAATTAAAGGGGAGAAAGGAAAAGAAATAAATATAACTATTATTACTAGAGAAAAATTGCTGGGAAAATAATGAGGCTAAAGACTGACATGTTCCCTACATCTGTTGGGATACATCCTAGGGTATTAAAAATAGACACAGATAGTGGATGTACTAGCAGTAATCTTCTAAAAATCCTTCAATTCTGGAAAAGTCCCAGAGAATTAGACAACTGCCAATGTAACATCTGCATTGGAAAGAGAGAAAGAGACAGAAAACAACTAACTACAGGCCTATTAGCTTAACAGTTGTGCAAAAATAGTAGTCTATTGAAAAGGGTACAAAAGCAGATCATTTAAAAACACAGTACAATCAAGCAGAGTCAGCATAGTTTCACACAGCAGAAATCATGCCTAACAAATGTACTAGGATTTTTTGAGGAGGCAACAGGCAGGATAGATAAAGGGAAGCAGTGGATGTAATATGTTTGAATTTTCAGAAGGCATTTGGTAAGGTACTGCATGTTTGGCTACTTGAAAGATAAGAGCCCATTATATTGGAGGTAGTATATTAGCATGGATAGAGGATTGGGTAACTAATAGAAAACAGAGTTGGGATAAGGCAGTCATTTTCAGGATGATGACCTGTAACTAGTGGAATGCCATTGGGATTGGTGTTGAGGTCACAATT